ACCGCTCTGGGTAACCTGTTCCAGTGCTTCACTGCCCTTCTAGTAAGAAAGTTTTTCCTAGCCTAAACTTCCCTTGCTGCAGCTGTACCAGGGCAGGGCTGAACCCTGCTCAACTCCTGCTCAACAGCTCTTAAGCCAGGAACTGGTCCCCTGCCACCTGCAGCTGCCCTCCCAGGCTCACAGGCACCAGGGAAGGAGAGGGGGCTACTTTTGGGTGTGTGGGGGGGAGAACCAGGCTTTCCAGCCGGTGTCGTCTCCATGCCACCCCTCACCCCAAGTGCTGTACCCTGGTTTAGGACAGGAAGCGAAGAGGAGCAGGCTGTTCACAGGGAACAATGCCCCAGCCTGGCCACAGGTCCCGTGGGTGGGGTGGAGAGGGCTAGTGCTGGGGGACTGTGGGATGGCGGGGTTCATGCAGGCTCTCACCTCTGCAACTGGACTGTGGTGCTGGCCTGTGACATGCAGCAATGCCGGACACTGCCCAGGTTGGACACAGGAGTCCACATGGCCTCACCAGCGATGAATGGAGGAAAATAATCACTTCCCTTGATCTGCTAGCAATGATCCTATAAATGCAGCCCAGGATGCCGTCGGCCTTCTTTGCAGCAAGGCCACACTGCTGGCTCACATGCAGCTTATTGTCCACTGTCACCTCCACGTCCTTTTCTGCAGAGCTGCTGCCCACCCAGTCAGGCCCCAGCCTGCACCGGTGCATGGGATTGCTCCATCCTCAGTGCAGGACTTTGCACTTGTCCTTTTTGAACCTCATGAGATTTCTTTTGACCCAATCTTACAATGTGTGGAGGTCTTCAATATCTTCATTAACCATCTTCAAGATGGTTAATGAAGGTATTGAACAAACCAGTCCCAGAACCAACTGCTGGGACACCCCATTTGAGTCTGGCTGCCAGTTAGACATCAAGCCATTGATCACTACCTGTTGAGCACAGCAATCCAGCCAGCTTCGAATGAACTGTAAAGGGGATACATCCAACCCACACTTCCTGAGCTTGCTTGCAAGAATGCTGTGGGAGACCATCAAAAGCCTTGCTAAAGTCAAGGTCTATAATGTCCATGTTTTTCCCGCATCCACAGAGCCCGTCATCTCATCATAGAAGGCAATCAGGTTTGTCAGGCATGGCTTGCCCCGGTGAAGCCATGCTGATTGATCCTAATCACCTCCTTCCCCTCCACGTGCTTAGAAATGGACTCCTTGAAGATCTGCTCTATAATTTTTCTGGGGAGTGAGATGAGGCTGACTGGTCTGTAGTTCCCCAGATCCTCCGCCTTCCCTTTCTTAAACTAGATTTCCCTTTTCCAATTGTCTGGAACCACCCCGATCACCTCAAGTTTTCAAAGATAATAGCCAGCGGCTCGACAATCGCACCAGTCAACTCCCTCGGTACCCTCAGGTGCCCTGCATCTCGTCCCACGGACTTGTACATGTCCAGCTTTTCTAAATAGTTCCTAAGCTGGTCTTTCACCATTGAGGACTGGTCACCTCCTCCCCAAACTGTGCTGCCAGGTAAAGTCGTCTGGGAGCTGACCTTGCCTGTGAAGACTAAGGTAAAAAAGGCATTGAGCACTTCAGCCCTTTCCTCATCAGCTGTCGCTAGGCTGCCTCCCCCATTTAATAACGGACCCACACTTTCCCTGACCCTCCTTTTGTTGCTGACATCCTTGTAGAAACCCTTCTTGTTACCCTTCGTGTCCCTTGCTAGCTGCAACTCCAGTTGGCTTTGGCCTTCCTGACTTCAGCCCTGATGCCCAAGCAATGCTCTTATACTCCTTCCTAGTCATTTGTCCAAGTTCCCACTTCTTGCAAGCTTCCCTTCTGCGTTTGAGCTCACCAAAGAGTTCTCCAAGCCAAGCTGGTCACCTGCCGTACTTGCTAATCTTCCTGCACATTGGGATGATTTTGTTCCTGCGCCCTCAGCAAGGTTTCTTACAAGTACAGCCAGCTCTCTTGGACTCCTGTCCCCCTCAGACTGGCCTTTCAGGGTATCCTGCCCATCGGTTCACTGACTGAGTCCAAGTCTGCTTTTCTGAAGTTCAGGGTCCTTACTCTGCTGCTGCTTTTCTTTTTTTGCCTTGTGTCAGGATCCTGAACTCCATCATCTCATGATCTCTGCTGCCCAGGTTGCATCCACTCCTACATCCCCACCAATTCTTCCTTGGTCACGAGCAGCTGGTCAAGAAAAGCGCGGCCCCTAGTTGGCTGCTCCAGCACGTGCTCCAGGACATTGTCCCCAGCACTCTCCAAAAACGTCCTGGATTCATAGTTTCATAGTTTCTAGGGTCGGAAGGGACCTGAGCAGATCATCTAGTCCGACCCCCTGCCATGGCAGGAAGAGCACTGGGGTCAAATGACCCCAGTAAGGTGGTCATCCAACCTCCTCTTAAAAACCCCCAGGGTGGGAGCCTGCACCACCTCACTTGGAAGCTGGTTCCAGACCCTAGCCGCCCTGACCGTGAAGTAGCGCCTCCTG